ATGTTAGCTTAAATATTAGTAATTTGACCAATTATTAATTTTAAATGTAACAACATCTACTTTCTCTCATTAGTTTTTCACAACAGTTAAGTTTTTTAAATTGAGCTTTCTCAGTGAATATATATGTAGTGTGTGTGTGTGAGAGAGACACGAGTTAAATGTATTGATGGTGCGAACAAATTTTTTATTCCTGTCACAAAGTATCTTATTACATATTACTATTAATAAAATAACTGTTATCTAATTATAACTATAAATTCATTTTTTAAAATTAAATATATCAATTTACTTTTCTTCATTCCACATTTGATTATCTACAATATATTTACAAATATTTTGGTTGATATCTGAATTAAAAAGTGGCACACCAAAACAACAGTCTAACAAAGTCCATTCTGATGTATCATAAACAGGTTCTAATAGCATTGTTTTCTTTACACATGATGCATCATTTAATTTTTCTAATTCTTCTTTTAAGAGAGATACTCCATTTTTTTGAAAAATCGGTGAAGCATCTGAAAAAAAAAAATTATAAAATGAGTGATTCATTAATTAATTAATTTTTTATTTTCCAAACCACTAGGCTGTTCTGAAATTAATTTCTTTTCATATTTAGTTGGTGTTGTTGCACAAGTTATATACCCACACGTATTTTTTATGTTTAAAACATTTGATAAACTTTTTAAAAAATTTTCTTCATATAAAAAAGAATGCTCTAAACAAATAAAACATATGATTAATGAAATACATTTTATATAATATGATCAAACACTTCAATATTGAATATTACTTACCATTTTGAAAATGGTGCATTATTGGAAATGGTAGTACACATGTATTTGGATTACAAGCCTAAAAACATAAAACTAGTACTGAATTTGGAAAAATAATTTTTTTTTTTTCATTTACTTGTATAAGAACTGGTGATTCTTTTAAAGTGTCATTGATAATAGTTAATAAGTTCTCAATAGGTATAAAATGAGGATCATGTCCCCAAGTAGTTATCATTACTTTAGAACAATGTCTAAATATTTTAGGAACATTCCACAATCGCACACCTATTAACAAAAATTATTTAATAATAAAAACAACTGATCAGTAACAACATATTTTATAAATTTACCTCTAATCAATAATAGTGATGGAGGTCCATAACATGTTTTATGGTATAAATAAAGTTTAAACCAAACAGAGTTAACTTCAGGTATAGGAGGACCAATATGTGGTAACTTTGGTGATGACAAAAGGGGCGTTTCTTTATTTAACGGAGCCATTGACATTAATAAGCTAAAATATTTAAAAGTATTTGATAAACAAATTAAAAAATTATGAAAAACTCACTTGTAATTTTTTTTCAAAAATCTAACACATGTATCTGCTGTTAAAGACTTAAGACTTTCCCATCGAATAAGATCCAGTTTACTAGAGCAATTTTCTGATCTCAATGCTTTCACAGTGCTTCTAAGTGTTAAAGCATGTTCAAAATATCGTCTAGCTTCACCTTCACTCTCACCTGCACTAGGAGTTTCACTTCCAAAAACACAACTACCAGCACTGTAACCATCTGCAACTTTATCAAGTTCATCCAAAAACACATTTAATGCCTCATCAGTTAATTTTCCAGCTTCAAATAATGTAACTGCATGATCTTTTAGACTCTGAATTTGAATATTAGTTTTAATGAAAATATAATTAATAAAAAATTAATAAAATAACATTGTATACTTACAGGGGAAAGATTACCCATCATTAAAAAAGCTGTAAGAGTTGAATCAAACAAAAAAGCCATTCTTTTTTCAGAATTGCTTTTATCTGGAGATGACTCAAGAACATTTGGTACTTCAGTGGRCAATATTATTGGAGAAGATAAATCAGATACATTTTCTACATTTATTTTTTCTAATTTTGGTATATTTTTTGTACCAGACCAGGATGAATGAGTAGAAAAAGTCTTAGGATTTTTCTTATGGGCAATTTTTAATCGGCAAAATAAGGAGACAGCATTTTTAACGGATTCCAAGTCAATCTCTAATACTGTAGCCAACTTTAAAAATAAGATATTTT